CACACACCTGCACGGAGAACCGTGAGCACGTGGTGTAACCGCATCTCAGGGTGAACACGCACCCGGCACGGAGAACCGTGAGGACGTGGTGTGACTGCATCTCAGGGTGAATACACGGCATGGGGCCAAGCTGGCCCACATCTTGAGGCTCGCAATAGATCGTCCAAGTACAGTCCTGCCAGGATCCACCCCTTAGCAGGGGACAGTCAGAGCTTATGGGGGAAACTTGGAAGGCATCTCCAGGCTGGGTGCTGAATAAAGTGAACAAGACCCCAATGGGAACTCACCAAAAAGAGAAACGGGTGATCAGGGTGGATCCTGCAAGCACTTCAGGTGAATGGGGTCATGGGCACACGAGGGCATGCCGTTAGCTGGTGAAGCTGCGCACGGCCAGCAGCTGGAGCAGCACGAGCTCATGGCATGCTGTCCCCAACCTCGCCCCCTCCACCAGGCCCAGCACTGGCCGTTCACACAGGATGACTACAGACAGTAGCTGCCACAAACAGCAGCGACACGTCATATGTCTTCCCCCACCCAGGCCAATCGGAGGTGGTTAGTCCAAAGCCCAAGAGAGGGCTGGCCTGAGGGGCTAGCCTGCCTGTAGTCTAAGAAGAAGCCCCAGCCAGTCAGAGGGACAAAGGCCCCAGAGCCCTTCCTAGCAGGGCCATCACAGTTGTGTCCTGTCTCTATGTGTCCCAACCCTGTCTCAGCCTCCACAATCAGAGATATGCCCCAACAGCATGGCACTGTGGACCCCGAGGAAGAGCCACCCCTGGCATACTACAAATGCCACCCTTGTAGCTGGTGCTGGGAGCTGGGACCCCTAGGAGCACCCTGATTTATGTGCTCTCTCCAAGTTCCTGACAGTCTCAGTGAAGAAAGTCCTGCTTCTTTACTGTAGACCTATCGCTTGGCCCTGAAATGATAGGTCCCAGGTGGACAGCCGAGCACAGGTGAGGCATTCTGCATACCTCCCCCCATGGAAGCACCTGCAACCCCAACACGCATGCTCTTCACTGTGACTGACCCGTGTGGGGACACAACAGATGACTGACAGGATGGATTGGGGGCTGCGGTAGGGCAGACAGAAAATTCAGGGGCCGTGGCCCCAAGTCTCTAGAACTAGAAGCCGCTCTTGGCTCAGGAGGTGCCAAGCTTCCTTTCCAGAGGCTGGCACTGGGAGCTTCTGGGAGGGGCGTGCTTGGTGCCCTCCTGTCCGCACAGCTCCTAAAGCTGGAGGTGTGACACAGTGTAGTGGACAAGGACGAGCCCCCGGCCTGGGCAGCTCCAGGCCCACACTTACCTGGCTGCGTGCGGCAGGCTCGGACTGGCCTGTCCGGGGGCGGCTCCACCTCCACCTTCTTTCCCGGGTCGAAGTCATCAGCTTCGCCCTCGGTGTCACAGTGCTCCTTCTCCCGTTTCCGCTTCTTCTCTTCCTGTGGGCACAGCCAGGTGTGGAAGGGGGCCGGCAGGAGG